CGATACACGTCCTTTTTAACGCACTTGCTATAAGATGACTCATTTGAAAAAAAAACACATATGTTTTTTCTCCTGTGTTGCACCACTTATACAAGAAATAAGATAATCATGAATTCCATTGTATTTCTCTTTTTTCTGTATAGCTTTGTGTATAGTTCTTTATTGGTAGCCTTCAACTCTTTGATAAGATGTTTGGAGATAAATGGATGATTCTCTTCTCCCTTAACCAGCAAAGCTAAAGCAACGTGATAACTGCAATTAGAGTCACATTTGACATTTATGATCTGGGGTCAATGTATTAGTCCATAAAAATCAGCATATCTTCAATATGTTTCGTTTTTTGTAAAGATGGTGAAGATGATGGTTTGCTGGTGCAAGCACCATTAGTAGAAATATTTTTGGACTGTGAAATTGGAGAGCCCAGAAAAGGTGAGTCATTATGCTCAAAATAGGATGGAGATCACTTAGTTGAATTGTCACTAGGTGTTGGTTTGGCCTTCATAGGAGCACCATTTGATTATATCTGAACAGTTTTCCCATAATCACACATTATGTAAATAGATACATAATGATCATCATTCAATAGCTTCAACAATTATTGCATTTCAGATCTTAGATCTCTTATTTCCTTGTTGTTTTGGATACGAACATTGTATACTTATCTAATATTTGAAAGATTTTCGGGTATTTTTCTTTTCAAAGTTGCAAGTATGTTTTTTGGCTTAACCATGTTCAATGTCATGTCAGAAACATGTTTTTCTGTTCAGAATTCAGACAACTTACAATCAGATGGCTGACTAACTTGTGACATAAAGTATGGTTATTTATTCCACAGATCACATAAAATGCATATGTATTATTCGCCTTATGGTTCCTACGCAACTTAAAATCCACATTTCTCATATTCGGTGTTATCGCATTTCGACTTTTGTATAGATTCATAATTTTTACTTCTTTCGCATCTCATCATAACAAATGCATGTCTTCTATTAAAACTAGAATTCGATCTCCCAATAACAAGTGTGAACCCTAATTTGACAACTGTTGCACCCCAAATTTTTACTACCTTTACATAGTTTCTAGTGCCACTTTATTTTGAATGAATAAAATGGCACAATTGACAAGAGACCGTGTGTAAGGAGTTGTGAGTGTGAGAGGTTGAGAGTTCGAATCCCATCTTCTTCACTTTTTGTTTTGTTTCTTTTATTTTTATTCTAACTTTTCTATTTTTTCACTTTTTTCCATATTATTCATAAAAACATCCAAAAATCATAAAATTGAAAATATTAGAAAAGATTTTATTCTTTTTATAATATTTTTAATGTTTAGTAAATAAATAGGGTTTTAAGTTTGTTTTAATCTGTTTAAATTTTAGTTAGTTTTGACTAATTCTTTAAGTTGGGCTTTAAAGTGGGCATTAGGTTAGAGTTAACCTTAATTTGTTACCTATATAAACATGAGTTGCATTTGAGAAAAGGGGGAGAAGGAGACAAAAAGAAAAACGGAGGCCGTCAAGATCTGGAGGTTCAGAAGAGTTTCGAAACTCATCATCATCACCTCCATTTGAGAAAGAGGAAAAGAGATCCAAAGAAGTTCGCCGAGAACCGTTGCCGCCGGCGAAGAACAAGCGAAAGCATCACCAACCGGCAACTGAAATGTAAGCTTTTCTGTTATCCTAATTAAAACCTCTTCCAAATAATTAAACCTCCATTTCATTTTTTAAACCATTCTTTATTCTAACAAAAAAAACCTTTTTGCGAATTATAACTAAAACCAGTTTTTGATTATAATTACAGTAAGTAAAAACTTAAAAAATTTTCTTAACTAAAACACTAACCACTAGCAATTTTTTTTAAATAAATAAACAGTGTTTAAAACACTTTTATAGTTAAGTGAAAACGTTTTTACTAACTTAAAATTAACCCGCTCCTAAAATTAGAACCTTCTTTTTTTTAAGTATTAAAATTAACATTTTTTTTTATGTTAAAATTAAGTTTTAAAGATTAAAAATTAAAACATGTTAGAAAGGGTTAAAAAAAAATTTTAAACTAGAACTTTCTTTAAAATTTTAAAACTAACATTCTTTTAAAGTAAAACTAACGAGTTTTTTAAATGTAAACTTCTTCTTTTAAACAAAACTTATGAATAGAGTTTTTTTAATTTAATTTAAGACTTTCTCTTTTAAAAATTAAAATTAAAACTTTTCTTTTTAAATTAAGATTAAAACTTTCTAAAGATAAAAAAGTTAAAACTAAAGTTTTGTTTGTTTAAAAATTAAAACCTTTTAAAATTAAGACTAAAATTTTAATAAAAACAAAATATAAAAATTAACAAAACAATAATAAAAATTCCAAATTGCATTTTCGTGTTTCTTTTAATATAAACTGTGTTAGCCATATTTCCGTCTAACTTTTCATTAATGTTCTCTGTTTCTCTCCTCAGATTATACATAGATTCCGATTCATATTTATTTCAATTTATTTTGTTCCATGGATGTAATTTACACGAGGTCATGGTCGCGGTTTTATTTTATTTTTCTTTTTTTTTGGGATTTGTAATTTACGCGAGTGATCTTCGCGACGCTTTCTTTTCTTTCTGCATTTTAATTTCTGCCATATAATATCTTGTCATGTTTGCATGTTTTACCGTTATTTTCCCTTCGAAGGAATTAGGTTTAGCTGTTTGACCGCCGAGTCAATAACCCCAGTTTCAACAGCTTCTAAACCCTAATAGCCTAGGTGTCCCGCCGTGGACGAAAATACCCTTTACCCTAGCTTTAGGTCAAAGAATCGTCGTACTCTGCTTTAGGGTTTCCCGCCGTGGAATCCCTAATTTCGACCCTAATTTTAATTCAACTTTTCAACATAGAAATAGGAGTTTCAAGACTCCACGTAAGCGTGTCCTTAAGATACGTTTACTCCCATTGAAACCTTGACCACAGTCAAGAAGTTTCTAACCTCCCTTTCGAGGGGAACTACAATTACTCTAATTCCATTCCCGTCAGGATATGTAGGCACAAGATGCGACGTCTTGCCGAGTAAACTTAGGACTAACCCTTAGGTCTTTAGGTCACTCTATCCCTTAGCTCAATATATATTAAAGCAGATAATAAAATAAAATAAAAAAGCATACAATAAACAAAAGGTTCCTGTAGAGTACTACAGAAGTTTAGGGTGCTATATAAACCTGAGTTGCATTTGAGAAAAGGGGGAGAAGGAGACAAAAAGAAAAACGGCGGCCGTCAAGATCTGGAGGTTCAGAAGAGCTTCGAAGCTCATCATCATCACCTCCATTTGAGAAAGAGGAAAAGAGATCCAAAGAAGTTCGCCGGGAACCGTTGCCGCCGGCGAAGAACAAGCGAAAGCATCACCAACCGGCAACTGAAATGTAAGCTTTTCTGTTATCCCAATTAAAACCTCTTCCAAATAATTAAACCTCCATTTCATTTTTTAAACCATTTTTTATTCTAACAAAAAAAATCCGAATTATAACTAAAACCAGTTTTTGATTATAATTACAGTAAGTAAAAACTTAAAACTTTTTCTTAATTAAAACACTAACCACTAGCAATTTTTTTTAAATAAATAGACAATGTTTAAAACACTTTTATAGTTAAATGAATAGGTTTTCCTCTTTTGACATTTTTCTTCGGATAAATCAAAGAGCGGTTGTGAACTAAAAATGCGATTCAAATTAATTAATAATTTAATATCATATTCTAACCGCAACAACAACCTATGTGTCGAACCATTGAAACCTATGTTCACATATTGTAAACTATTGGTAAATTCTTTTCCAAAATCTACTAGGATATCACCTGGTCTATCATCCTTAGATGCAATAGTTTTTATGACAGCATCAAAGTACATCATAACTACAAGTAAGAAAAAAATAAAAGGTCATTTAAATTCATCATTAAAATAGTTCTGAATTCAATTTTCAGACCAATTGTAAAAAGTTATGGAAATCAAAATTCAAATCATCGTTCATATTTCAATAAACAAAATACCTTAGATTTTATCTTCATTGATTAATAAAATACATGTGCATTACCTGTATTTCTAGTTAATTTTTGCCTTTTGATACTAGAATGTTGCTTAAATGTAAAAATCTTGAATAAAAATGAAAGAAAAATTTGATAAGATTTTACAATATTTGTCTAATGATCATGAAGACTATACATGCAAAATTAAACAAAAAATATTTTTCTGGTTGGTTTTTCTGAATTTCAATCTCCGGTCAATGTGTCAGAATAGAATTCAGACATACTTTAAATGGTGCAACGGATATTTTAGGTTTCTATAAGATGTATAGTCACTACATAGGATGTAGTGACCACCATCCAAAATGTACCAATAGGTCGCTCATTTGTGATCCAATTAATAAAAATAACTCAAATAAATTTTACAAATATGAAATTTATTTTAGAGCGGAGAAAATATAGTTCTTCATAATATTTTTGTAATAATATAACATACTTGATATGTCATTTATAAAACAATTTTATTTCATGTTAAACAAATAATTTATATAATTTATTCATAAACATTTATCCTATAAGTTCAAGTTTTCAAATAAACTGTATATCCATACCAGTCCCTAGTCAATACTCAAACCCAATATATCTGAATTCAATTACCATCTCTAAACGCAAACACTAAAAAGATGGTTATGTATTAACATACACAATTTCAATGTTACAGTTTCTTAATAGTTGTTAACCAAAGTTCATAGCTTTTTGACCAAAGAAACCTAACCCTTTCAAAGGAAGTATAGCCACAATGATCCTCATCACACTCCCTCACATTTTGTACAAACAATGACCACATAGATCCTTCCCTACAAAGAGCCTTTTTTGCAATGCCCCCTGGACAATATATGCACAAGAAAACCCTCTCCTAGAAGGTTTCAAATTCCCTGCAATCTGCGTACTTCTCGATTTTGATCCGTCTAGCGGTTGAGAAATGACACGTAGATCCTTCAGGGAATTTGTTTCCTTCCTAGAACATTCTTGTCATACCATATTGAACAGTTCCAATTTTTCTATGAGCAGTGGCCCCAGCTGCTGCACCAACTCCACCATATTGCGCCGCCTTTGATTGCAACAAATTTGTTTCTATTGTGATTTGATCATCTTTTTCTAACTTGTTTACTCCTACCCTTGTCATGAAAAAAGGATTTGTATCAATATTAATGGCTATATCTGGTCCCATCTTCGCATTAACTCCACATTGTTGTCCATGTTTTGCTTGCAACACCACACCCTTATCGGCTTCTGTGGCCGACCTTTCTTGAGTAGATGTACTACTAAGTGGCCTTTGATAGTAATATGCTGGCGGAACAGGTTGAGGAGGAAGCACGGAAGAGCCTCTAATAAACGCCCTTGGATCGTAAGAATCCTTAACAATGTTTCCATACTCGTAGGGAACAACCGGCCCGACAACTTTACCAGGCTTTGCTGATAAGAAAATTGAGATTGTTAATAATTGGTTGCTGCGCATAAATTTTAAAGACTACAACAATAAACAAACACATACATATTGGAATTCTTTGCGGTCCTTGGATCGTCCTTGGCATTGAAATTTCGGTATCTCTAGTGATCTTATTATATTCCTCGGGTGTTGGCCGGTTTTTGTTAGAAGCAATACTTGTTTGTTCTTTTTGAGATACCGAACTTGAATGTACAATTGTTGACCTGTCAATTATTCAAAAACCACATTATGAATGGAATTATCCTTTAAGTAGCACGGAAGCAAATTCAACATGTAGTAGGTGTGGTAGGTTTTAATCTACCAACTTGTGAAATGTGAATTCCCTGTAAACTATACTACATTGAAAGGGCATCTAAATAGCTTGCGATACAAGTTACCATCCCTTTGACACTTTTCGCATATATTAAGAGAAGTCGGCGGTATTGTAATTAATATGCATATTTTATTATAGAACACTCAATCTCGTAATTGCAAACTTTACATGAACGGCACAGCACTTATGAGTTAGAACTACCTTGGAAGAGAAACATGTTTTCGGTCAAGTGGTATAACAGGACCATTTTTACCATTTTCCTCTAGATGAGCAAACTGCTTTCTGAATTGATCCACGGCACTATAAAGAAATGGACCAGAAAAGATTAAGTACTAAATGATAGAGTTGAAAATCTTTAAGAAATTGACAATGTTATATAAAAAGTCGAAATGCCATTAAATAATCAAAACCTTGGATAGAGAAAATTAGTTCTTTCTGTTCCATTGATGTAGTCTTTCAAAAGTTGAGGATGATACTCTAGAATCTCGCGGAAAATTAGCTCTCGAATTTCTTCCTTTGTGACTCTTCGTCTTTCAAATTCAAACTCCATTTTCGTGATAGGCTGGCAGGACGGTTCCCTCTCAACTTTTGCGAGTCCCTTGAAGTAAGGGTTGGCCAGTGCCTGAAATCAACAACACGTTTAAAAATCTCTACGACTATAGCTTCTATGAAAACAATTTAACTTTATTTTATCTTTTATTACGGAAATAGCTTATAGCTATAATAAACACTTTTATGATAAGTTCTTATACAAGCGCTTAGCTAAGATACTTATCCAAACATGACCTAAATAATTTCAATCAAATTAAAAAGTAATAAGGCACACTGTAACAAACCTCTTCAGCAGTAGGTCGGTCTTTTGGGTCAAAAGCGAGCAACCTTTCCAGTAGTCGTAAAGCTAAAGGGTCGGCATTTGGAAATTTCTGTGCGAATGGCACAGGCTGTTTTTTTCTCATGCTAGTAAGGTATCTTCTTGCCTTCTCGTTTCGCACCTGCATCCAACACAAAATAATCATTACATTCTGGTAATTTCTTGTTCAGGATTAAGCCAAGCAACACAAGCACTTTTTCCTCAATAGTAACTATATGCTTACCCGCGATATAGTATCCAGGGAGGGAGTACCGAGCAGATCCGTCATCAGATCCAATTGATGGACTACATTCTTTCCAGGAAAAAGAGGCTTTCCTGTTAATACTTCAGCAAAAATGCAACCTATACTCCATATATCAATAGCTGGTGTATACTGTATCAAGATTTATGGAAAAAAAAATGCATTATTACTAAAAGTGAATCAGAAAATGGTTGCCATTGCGAATGTTCTTATGCAATCTAATAGAATTCAAAAAATTGAGTGCAGCATAAACTATGTAACCAACGACAAGTCTGAGTCACCCAATTCCGCTCCCCCACCGAACCTAACCACGGCTCTGATACCACTAGTTGGAGTGGGGAGTCTGGGCAGTGCCGGAAGTGCCAATGGGCTAAACGTTCAGAATCCAAAAGACCTTGACACCACATATCCATTGAAAACCTAAAGGCATCAAGTATGTGGGTCCTCTCTTTTATAAATCGAACATTTTCACCATTTTCAGTTGATGTGAGACTCAACGACTCACACTTCAACCAACAGCATGGTAATTCAAGACTATACATATTTATGTAGTTGCTCTATTTTTATATCTCTTAAAATTTCAAAAAATGAGATACCTTCGAGTAAAACGATCCACATAGCTCTGGAGCCCTGTACCACCTTGTAGCAACATAATCCTGCACACAAATGCATTAAACAAGCAATAAGCATCAGTTGCTACCTTCCCAAATGACATCGGAAGTTTGAAAAAATAACGATAATAATATAAACAACAAGCAACACTGAATAATAATGGAAACATTTAGAAAAAGTACCGTCCAAAATACAGTTGTTGGTGTGTCACTGAATGCAACTCTAGCTAGACCGAAATCGCAAATTTTAAGTTTGCAGTTTGCATTTGCCAGTATATTTTTTGGCTTCAAATCTCGATGATAGACATTCGCTGCATTATAAAAGCAAAAAAGCAATATTTTAGCCATTGGCGAAACAATGTGCACTTTATCTAATTATAGAAGTAACTACGGCGATTTCTCAGTTACCAGTGTGAATATACTTCAGTGCTCGAAGCAATTGATAAAGAAAAAATTGATAGTGCTCTTTCGTTAAGTCATCGTTCGCTTTAATAACTTGATGAAGATCTGACTCCATGAGCTCAAAAACAACGTAAATATCTTTGAAATCCTTCCTAGAAGGAGGAAGCATAATGTGTTTAATTTCAACAATATCAGGATGTCGTAGAAGTCTAAGCAGCTTTATCTCACGGAGAATACGCGCAGCATCAGATATATGCTCGAAAATGTCATGAATTTTCTTAATGGCGACTTTTTCACCGGTATGAGTGTCAATGGCCGAACAGACAACACCGTAACTTCCTTTACCAATGACTTCTTGAATTTTGTACCGGTTGGCATCACCATACTCAGAGAAGAAATCCATCTCCGTCGAATTCTGCAGCAGAGATTTAAGTCATTCCACAAAGCAAAAAAGTTTAAATTTCTAAGTCTGAAAACATTCATAAATCAACAAAAGCAAAAGTTTAAGAGAATTTTCAAAATGCATAGAAATTAAAATGAAAGTTTTTGCTGACTTACAGAGAAACTCATTTATTAAACACATATTTAAGATACCACAACTCATAAATAAAATTAATGAAACTACTCCTACTTCAAAAAAAAAAACAAACTCAAAGAGAAGTTACATTATATTTACAGGAATATCTTATGAAATATAACGGTTTGTTCAAATTCTGTAATGCTAAAGTGTTGTAGCGCCATCGTAGCCGCTATTTGACATTTGAGAACACTGATGTATCCATTGGAATAACACAAGAAAACCAACAAATAACAAACATAAAGACTCTTATAAACTCGACAGAATAAATTTGGAGGGAGGTCAGTACAAATTTCATTACCAACCTGTGAAAGAAGCACAGACACCGAAAACATGACACCACTAACACATTGACATTGGTAATAATTTGAAAAAGTGAATCAATTAAACGTAATCACAAGTGTCAGATTCAGACACGGACAAAGGACGCGCCTTTTTTCCAAGATGTCGGTGCTACAGGGTTACCTACTACAAATCCAAAGCCATGTACCAATAATCATACACAGTTCAATATTAAAAAGCAAATGAAAATCATTCTTAAATCTGGTAATTAAAGAATTACAATCATAGGAAAATCTCAACAAAACAAAACAAAAGTAAATAGTTGGCAAGATCTGATCAGATGTCATAAAAAACCTGAAAAGCCTTTGAAGCAGGAATTTCATCTAGTATATTTAAGACAAACAGCATATAGCACAACTCAACCGGTGTAAAAAGAGAAAAATTATAGAGATAAGATCAACAGAATAACCACCCCAAAGCCATCTAATCAGTTGCAAAAAAACCAGTAAACATCATTAACACCTCAAACAAAAGAAAATTCCAAGTATCCGAAATTCAGAAACATTAGCATGTATGATCTTAGCACCACTGAATTTTCCTTGTCACAAAAGAGTTACCATAGTAATCATTCAGACAAAATTCAAAAGAAAAAATGAATTTTTCAATCACAATTACAAAGATGATCAACAACAACAATAACAATGAAAAATCCACCTTTTTTTTATGTTCTTGCTGCATTATCTTCTGACACCCACAAATTTTGCCAAAAGTCCCTATGAGGCAAAAGATCAAACACAAACCAAACAAACCTCAAAATAATTCACCAACAACAACAAAAAAAAAAAAACCCAAAAACACAAAACTTTATCACCTTAACTCATCCACATTTTCCCCATCTACCCCTACACATTATCACAAAGGCACAACAATCCCACCTTATTCTTCTCTTCACAAAACATAGAATCAAAATAAGATCCCACATACACCTTCCCTTAAAAATCAAAACAACAACAACAAAACCACCAACCTATACAAAAACCATCAACCACCCACAATTATATAGTGACACTACTCCAACCCAGTAATTAAATCACCCTCATTTTCACAACCCCACCAAAGATCCAACCTTAAAACAATTACCCTTTAGCTACCTTCAACACAAAAGTAAAAAACAAAACAACCCCACGAATTATTTCAGCTCAAAAATCAAAACTTGATAAAGAAATGAACAACGTGGAGTAAACTAGATCTGTGTATGTACACCGACACAATAACAAAGAGGAGAGAGAGAGAGAGAGAGAGAGAGAGAGAGAGAGAGAGAGAGAGAGAGAATGAAAAAATTGAGAGAGCTTTGAGGCTTAAATCTAGTTCGATACCTTCATGTATCTTATCCGTATCTTACTTCAGATACACTTATACACTATACGTATACGTATACCGTATACGGAGGGTATTTTTGTATTTTTACTAGACAGATTCTCTATAGAATTATTATTTCTGTCTCCTATGTGAATTACAGGTGTCATTTTGGACAAGTACATATGACGAGCGGCGAGTTTTTATAGGTTGGAGAGGTAGATAGTGGGACCCGTGTGGCAGTGTCTAACTTTAGAGTAATTGGTGTAATGGCACTATCATAGTGTTATTATTTGGTTTGATCTTTGTGTATATTGTGCATAAGGATTAGGATTAGGGCGCCACTGGACATTTCATAATGTTCTACTTTTTTTTTTTTTTAAGTAAATTGTTATATTTATCTGGTGTTATTTATAAAAAAGAATTAATTTCTTTTAATTAATTGAATAATTAATATATCTGATTTATTATATAATTTAAATATATTAATTAATTAATAAATCTAAAAAATAAATATTTTTTATAAATAAAATCGGAGATAATAATTTATAGATATTATAGATTAAATTTTTGTTATTGATATGAAAATTTTTTTTAGTGCATAAAATATTTTTATAAGTGTTTTTTCGAGTTTTGCGATTCACCCCTCTCATAAATATAGAGTCTTACTCATATATGCTTTATTTTATTTTTTAAAAATTGTTGTTAAAAGTTTGCGACTAGAAGTTTTTTTTATTATTTTAAAATTTAACATATTTTTTATATAAAAAGGTTAAATAAACTTTTAAAAAAGTAAATGTTAGTTTAATATTTTGTAAATTAAGTATATAACTAAAGAACCTACCTATCGTGTATTTTTAAGACTAAAAACTTAGTTTTGCTATTTTATGAAAATGTATTTAACCATGATTTATATCAATATTATAATTTGTAAAAATATGTTTCATTATGGTTTCTAGAAATAATTTCAGATTTCAAAACTATGAATGACGTTGTTCTTTTTTAAACTTTGAAGTATTTAGTCTAAAATTTAGTCTAAGTGCATTTCAATTTTTCGAACTTTTTAGTTATATTTTATTTTAAAGGAAGTTATTATTAAAGCTCTTCAAGAAAAGGAAATTACTATTTTTCATTATTATACATACATTATATATTAAAAACAAATATATATTTTCTTTTATTATCACACTTTTATTTGATATTTAAAAGTTATTTTAAATGAATCATAATAATAATTTTATCAAATTAATTTCAAATTTTATTTTATTTTTTATCTACTTATTTTCCTAATTACGGAATAATTTATCTATTTTAAACTCAATAAATTTTGGCTCCTCTGAATTTTTTTAATAAAAATCGATGAAATTGTCTATTTTTTTTAGTTTTTATTTTTTTATAAAAGATTCTTAAAAAAAGATTTATCACGTTTTAAAGTGATATATTTGTCAATTTTAAATATAAAGATATGTATACGTTATTAATTTTAAATATAAAAATGTAAAGTTATCAAAACTGTTTGAATTTTAATTATAAAATTAGTTTTGTGAATTAGTTAAAATAAAGTATAAAAATTATAATTTTATTTTAATTTTACTAAATTTTGATATATTTTATTATTATAAAAAATTAAAATAAAAGATAGTAAATTTAAATTTATGTACATGCGGCATTATTAAGTAATACATCAATTAATAAAAAGAATATCAATAAGTATTCTTAGAGTGATATATTATTTTATATTAAGAAGTGGTGTATGCTTGACCCAAAAAAGGTGGTGTATTAGATTTTTTAAAGTTTTAAAATCGTTATTTTTATTTTTATTTTATCCTTAGAAAATAGGTTAGCTTTATACAAAAAAATATTGATATATATTAAATTTTAAATAGAATTTATTTTTTTAAAATAAATGTGGCCGTGTTACCATTATTACAGAAAATACATTTTTTAGTATAATATTTCACTTTCAAACTTTCACTCATTGTTAGATACGTTTGTGGGATTGAGTGTGTCTAACTTTTGAGTCAATTTGTATGCCTTCAAATCAATCTACTTTAGTATTATATTCATACTATGTTGAAGAAAACTTTGTAAGGATTATGCTCGTTCACAAATATTAGTTATCCAAACAAAATTTTGAATTATTCACTTTAAAATGTGGTTGTGTTTTACATAGAGGATTACAAGTCACCAAACACATTTTAAAAGGTTTGAATGAAAAAGTGTCCATGAAGACAACTTTTTTAACATGCCCTATTTTGTCTTTTACATTCCTTCATTTTAAGCAATTATTCTAATTTATTTCATTGAAAAATCATTTAAAACTTTGGTACAAGTATTTTAATTTTCAAAATCAATCACATTTATAATTATTTAAAAAAACTACTATGTAAGGATGCTTTCTTAGATCTTAATAAGATTTGGATTGAAGATTTCTAATTTTTTTTGTTTTGACATAAATTTATCTTCTTTTTTTATATTGTATTATTATATAATGAGCCACCTCCTTTTCTTCTTAATGAAAGTATCTATTATTTTAAAAATAAATAGATAGAATAAATTATCTTTTTGTATAATTTTTTTAGACAAAATATTTTGTAAAATTTTGACTTTTATAAAATTGGTAAAATTAAATCACCATTTTGTATAATCTTAAAAGCATTTTTTATAAAAAAACAAAAACAAACACATGAACGCTAAAAATGTTTGAAGATAAGTATATGGTCTATCGTTTCTTCAAGTGTTGTTAATAATGATGAATAAGCTAATGAACTCTAACATGACGGTCTATTTAATGCGTTCAATGTTGGAGGTGTACTTGCAAACACTTCGACAATGAAGTCATTGACGACTGTAAGTGCATGAATTAGGGTTTTAGAATAAAGTGAACTTGAGATTGGATTGCTCTTTAGTCTTTATAGTAGAATTTTAGGGTTAAGGGTTATAGAACCTTTTTATAGACCTTTGTCTCATGGTACAAATGTTAGTAGAGCATACATAACTTTGTATCTGACGATCCATAATGGGTTGCTGACCTTGATCTAGTGTGCCTCTCGGTCAAGTATGTATTCTAGATCGCTCTTCGTCATACGACTTTAGGTAACCTTGTTTTCTATGATTGGGGTCTTAGCCCATACCAAAATATTGGTCCCTAAAGTATAGATCGGTGGAGTCGTGTTATAATTTTGTCTTAAGACTTCTTCAAATATGGTTGACCTTTTGTATATATAAGTTATGTTTGTGGCCATCCTTGAGTCTTAAGGTACGTTATTGAGATGTTGTATGCTTATACTTTTTAAATGAACTCTTTGACGTCAGGTCATAACTTGCAAGCATTGTTGACTGTGATTGTCGCTAATGTGTGATAGGAGTTGCTCTAAATTATGATTTCCTTTCCTTCTGCCATGTGGACCTAAGTTTAGGATATGGTAGGTTAAGTTCGGGTGTGATATGATTAGTTGTATGGGAACTGTAACACCCCAAATTTATTGGAATATTTATTTAATTTATTTAAATAGGAATATTCGTATTTTTAGTGAATTGCGGTGGTTGGTATGAAGTATTGAGAATTATGGAGTTTTGAGTTATTTATTTAAATAATAGTATATAATATGAATATATTGGTATTATTATTAATTTAAATAAATATAAGTGAATTAAGGGCAAAGTGGACATTTGAGGAGGAGTTAGTGAGGGTGAAGTTGGAAAACTCAATTTTAAGGCCCAAAGTTAGGTTTAACAAAAGGGAATTTTGAAGGAATTAGGATTCATTCTTGTTAGACCGTGAAAAGAGAAGAAATAGAGGTCAGAGCTCTGTGTTGTACCCCAAAATTTGACCAACCGTTTCTTGTACTTGGCTTATGTTTTCTTTTCATTTTGCATTTCTGCATATCATAGCATTTATTCTCGAGGCATGGGATCAAGGTTTTCCTGTGGCTCGGGTCTTTTTAGTGCAAGAGACTAAACAGCGAGCATCAGAAGCTCCGGCATTTATTTTGCCCGGCGATCGAGCGACCAATTTTATTTTTATTTTGCAGGATAATTTGTAGCTCAAGAGGCAACATTCAGGCTATCTTAGGCATTCTCACAGTTTTGATATTCGAAAGCAAGTTTCAAAGGCTGGACAAGGCTTAGAACGGAAGAAAACGGGCTAATGTGCACATTTCCCTCCAAAAGGCGCCAAAATTCAAAATTTTAAGGTGTTAACCGATTAACCAATATGATTAACCGATTAACCAAAGCAAAATCAAGACATATTTGAATTTTTAAGGGTGTTAATCGATTAACCAAGGCAAATTTTGCCTCTGCATGTAACGCCCGTTCATTTTAATTAAATTATTTATGAATTATTGGTGTGCCTTTATGTGGGAGTGTGTCTGAGAGTG